TTAAAAGAAAGCCGACAAACGCGCTGAAAAGCGCGACGCAGCACATTGCGCACTGCCGCGGAGTGAGGCGCCGTGCCGCTGCCGCTGCCGCAGCTGCGGCTGCGGCTGCCGCCGCTGCTGCGCCGTGCGCCGGTGATACTACTGGCTTGCATTTGGGCCTGCAGCCACCCCGTAGTTCAGCGGCGCAAATTGCAGCCGCACAGAGCTCATCAAGATGCGGGCAGCAGCACCAACTTCGACCGCCCCTCAGCCGGCAACAGCGCAGTCTTTGCCAGCGGCCCCACAAGCCAAAATGCAGGTAATCAACATGAGGGTCAACGTGCCAGAGACTGTGCAGTCCATGTGTGAGGAGCTGCAGCGCCTCGTCGTGAGTATTGCAAGAGGGCTACTGTGCTTCCTGTGTGGGGAGGGCGTCAGCAACCTTGCATACCAGTGTGATCCAATTGCTGCGCGTGCTCAGCATTGGAATGACTCAGGAAGCTAGCACGTGTGAACCCATTGCAGCGGGACCTTCCACAGGGTCATGCAAGTAAGGTCTTGCGCTACCTGACTGATATAACAGGGCAAGCAATCAGGAGTGGCGTGTGGATTGGTCGCAATGAAGTTGTGGTCCTTGGCACTGGAGAGCGACAAACGGGTGCGCACGCCGCCCAACCTGGCACACTTATTGTGCAATAATTTGTTAGATGCTTGCTTGCCGCTGTTCCCTACCGCAGATGCTGGGGCCACACGCACTTGCGCCGATGCTTAATGGTGAACCGGCTCACTATGTTCTGCTCCAAAGCGGGAAGAGCTCTTCAAGGCGGGAGGAGTGCAAGCGCTCACGGCTGTTCTTGAGTGCGGCAACGTCGAAGCCTCTCATGCAGCGCTGGGTGCGCTTGCTGCATTTGCTGGCGCCGGCGATCGATGGGTGTTGGAGATCACCTCAAATGGTGGCTTGGCAGCGCGCTTGTCAGCTGTGGCAGCAGCGATGGCTACAGGGCAACACGATCGATCGCGGCTCGAGGCAGTTAGCCTGCTGGCCTGCATCGCGCGTGTGCCAGAGCAGGCTGCACGTGTGTGGGCGTTGAGCGCTTCAGCATTAATGGCTGCAGTTCTAGGCGCCCCTTGCGAGCCAGCCAGCACCCCAAGCTGGGCAGGCCGCCGGCGGCTGCAACGTTCGGCAGCGCTAGCACTTAAGGCGCTGCTGGAACCTAGCGAGTGGGAGTCAGAGATTGCGCGTCGGGCTCGGCGGATGGCGGTGCTTCAAGGTGTGGGCTTGGGGCCGCTGCTGGCAATTGCGGCTGGTGAGGCGAGCGGCTGCGGCTCCCGTAGCGGGGCCCATCCAGAGTTGCAGCTGGCAGCATCGGCGTGCCTGCGATTTGTCGCGCTGCTTCCAGACGCTGCGCAGGTGGCCGCAGGTGCGCAATCACTCCAGCCTTGTACCATTGTCGCTCTCACTGCGCGAAATCTTACGTCACTTTCAACCTGCTGTGTCTGCTGCTCAGTATCCTGTCGAGCGTTGGTGGCGTACGCACGCGTGCTGCTTGTGCGTGTGCGTTCGCCTGTGGAGTGTTGCTGCCCCAACTCCAACTTCCCAGGCAGCCACAACCACACCTTTCCCAAACAAACTCAACCCACAATCCTCTCCCCATCCACGTGCGCATCCACATGCCCACGACAACCAGATGACCCGTCCATTGCGCCGGGGCTGGTGGCAGCTATAGCACGCTGGCACGACCCTGCCACAGCCTGTGGTGTGGCCACAAATTCTATGGCCACAGCGCGACTGGCCTTTCTTACCGGCACTGCATGGGAGTTGGCGTCGTACCCTGCTGCTGCGGCTGCGCTGTGCGATGCGGGAGCTGTGCAGGCACTGATTGGCGTTGTTGAGGAGCTGACACCTGTCACAGCGTCAAAGAGGGGTGCGCGGCTGGGCTGAGTGTGTTGGCTTGACGGCGACTCAGGAATGCCAGTCAGTTGTAGATACACATATATAGACATGTGCATCCGTAGCAGCAGCCTCTGTTGCGAAGGGGCCAGCACCTGCTGCTCAATCGAGCGCCGCAGCACATCGCCACCACCGCCAGAACGGCCCACACACTGCAGCTCTGATGTATGTGCACCGTTACGCTCAATCACCGCAGCAAAAAATGGCCGCAACATGGGGAAGCGGGAAGAAGTCGCCCCCGGAGCAGCCATGCAGGGCTCCAAGCGCGCCCCCTCCGCGGCGGGCAGCGCAGGCAGTGGGCCAATGTCGCGCGCTCTACCAGCACAGATTCAGGACCAGTTAACGGCATCCGCCGCGTCGCTGGCCAATGCGTCGGGGGCGCTGCACCACCTGAGTGTGCTGGATGGAGCCAAGTGCGCTCTACTGGAGGCGGGCGCGCTGAGGCACCTGGCGGCGGTGTTGCGCAATGGCGGGGCGTCTTCCCCCGCAGCATGGGATGGGGCCCTGGGTGCGCTATGGAATGCGAGCCTGGTAGCCGGCAGCGAGGGCGCGTTGGCAGCAGCGGGGGCGCCAGGTTTCTTGTGCACAGGGGCACAGAGCATGTGCCTACAGCTGCAGCGATCGTGTGAGGACTGATGTCAGTGACTAAGATCAGTTGGGATCATGCATTTGGGCGTATTTTTTTGTAAATTTGACATCCACAACTTTTGACAGCGCAGTAGCCATGTAACAACCTATTGCACGACCCACTGGTGGGATGAGAGCAATGCAAGAAAAAAACGTGAGGGCACAGATGCATAGAGAGGAAGAGCAGGTCAAACATCGTCCTCACACCGCCTTGCGCCGCCAGTCCAACACACCCTCCTCCTGCCCCTCCTCGTCTTCGTCGTCGCTGCCACCACTTTCAGCCCCCAGAACCTCCGCGAGGGCGTCCATCACGCGCCACCGCCGGCCTGGAGGCAGCCCTGCCGCCACAGCCTCCGCCATCTCGGCCGGGGGCGGCCCTGGGCCCAGCACACCCGCGCCTTCCGCCTCGTCCTCCTCCCGAGCAGCCCCAGCCTGCCTCGTGTCATGTTGCCGCTGATGCTGCTGGCCCACGCGTTCAGGCGCACTGGCCCCGGCAGCAGCCGTGCTGCGCATCCGCTTCAGCCTCTCTATGCGCTCCTGGCGCAGCCTGTGAGGGTGTGGCAGAGTTTTGGTGGGTTTCTCATATGCAATTGTCTGATCACCAAGTGGCCTCAGGCTCTATCCAATGAAGTATGTACGAAGCGCCCATCCCAATACCCTGCCCTGTACGGAACACGCGCCTTGTCAACAACCTCTCAGCACCCAGCCTTACAACCTGCATGGGTTCCCGAACCGTCACCAGCAGACGTGGGAGATGCCTGTTTGCTATCCTCCCCCACTCTGCTTGGGAAAAAAAAGAAGGCTCCCCACCCACCTCTGCTCGAGTGCTTCCCGCTCCTCCCTCTCCTCCGCCGCTTCTGCAGCGTCCTCCTCCTCCTCTGCCGCCTGCACAACCATGGCGCTGGCAATGTCAGAGGCGAATGCGGCAAAGGCCGCCTCCTTGTCGGCCTTGTCTGGACTGGGGGGAAGAGGGGGTTGGCCAGGGGGAAGAGTTCTTGGGATCCTGAATCGTAGGACAAAGGGATGCCGAACGAGGTGGTGGGGGCGGACCCACATGTATGGCAGGCCGCTCTCTGCTCACATCTTGATTCCGCGGGCCTTTGCGTCTGCAGCCTTGTCGTCAAAGAAGGCAGTGGGCAGGCCTGCCGGCAATGCCGATGCCCCGGGTGCTGCAGCTGTGGGCACAGGTGTGGCAGGCACGGCCGGGGGGCCCATCGCGGCAGCCGGCTGCAAGCGGACTGGAGGCTGCCCTGGCTTGATGTTTGCTGGCGGCGGCGGCATGGCTGCTGCCTGCAAGATGGGTGCATGTTGGACGAAGGTGAAGTGTGCCGTCAAGAGCAAGCAGCAGCACATGAAGGGCTGGGCAGGGACTGCAAAAATTGCCTGCCAGACAAGCCGTAGTACCTGCACCATCGCGTTCGACCTTCAGACATGTCGCCACTACAAGCGCATCAAGCTTCGCACGTGTTGTTTGGGAGGCTTGCGGTCGAAAAAGTCAGCCGGTAGGCCCTGGCTGCCTGCAGACGCTGCGGCCCTCGCGCCTTGGCCCCCCAAGCTGGCCCCGCCTGCCGCAGACCCAGAGTTGCCCGCCGCTGTGTGCTGGTGCGAGCGTGACGCTGATGCTGCAGTCTGCAGGTTCGGTTTGCAGTGCGTGCGACCACGTGGGCCGAGAGGCAACTGAATGGGCCCAGGGCCGGCAGGATGGGCCACTGGACATGCTCGGCGGATGAATGCACTCTGCAAAGTGAGCAGCAAGACATCGCAAGCTGTGCCTGTCTTGAATCCCTCACCTCCTTCTCTGAAAGCTTGCGAACCTTGGCCTGCTTGGCCTGCGGTCGTAAACCATACAACCTGCTGTAAGAGTGCATCCAGGGGGTGCTGCACGTGGTTGCACTCGGGGGCACTGGCGAGGTGCTCACCGCTGACTTGCCGGCGAGGCCACGCTGTGCCTGCGCGGCCTTAAAAGCCGCTTTGAAGTCGCTCATTGCACTGCGTAGCCACTCGATCGCGAACAGACTATGTCACAATCTACAGTAGCCTGTGCAGCAACGGCGTGCCAGGCAGGGTCCTGAGGCAGCACACCAGTGGGCTTGCGCAGCCTGTCAGGGTGAGGTTGGCCGCTTTCAATGCATTCTTGAAGCGATACGTGCGCAAATTGTCACGCTTCACTGCCTGACTGACTCAGGTGTGCCCACAAAGCAGAAAGCAATGGGCCGATGATCTAGAGTTCACTTATGAACCGTAAATGTCCTGCAATCGCTTCGGGGATGCAAAACAGCTATGCGTGACATCATACGACAGGCTGTGTTTTGATTGCAGCTTGCCAGTGCCCCGTCCATCCCGCGAGAACCAGTCGTTCCTTTCCCATGTACGAGACAGCAAGGCATCTTTTAGGAAGGTTACGCAGCGGAGCAGCTGTACGAAGACCCGCACGCGCAAATGATGCGCTGATCGGGGGCGCGCGCGGCTGTAGGGGTGGCATGCATTGAGGCGCGCTGAGGCTGAGCTATGCAGCCATATCGGATGCAATGCGACCGGCCGCCGATGTCGCTAGAGCTGGGGCCTCCGGACTACTGGCCGTTGCAGGCGGTGAGTTGGGGGACAGGTCTGTCAATGAGACCAAACTGCCGGACCGGCCCGAAGGGCGGCACTGTTGCGGCCTTTACATGCAAGAGCCTGCGGCTGCCTTTGAGCCAAATCCAAACAGCCAGTGATTGGGCACACAAGTGCGTGGGCACGTGACTGTGCGTTTGCTGGCTCTCGGCTCGCCTACCCCCTAAAATCCAAACAGGGCTGCTGCCCGGAGGACAGCCTGGACCCCTCAACCTTGGCGGGCGGCTACAAGTGGGGAGCGGATGCGTTCCGAATCACAGAAGCCTACGAGTCGCTCCTGTCTCTCACCTGCCACAGCACCTACTGGGAGCCGCACAGTGTTGCAGCGCTGCGCCAGGTGCACTAGTATGCCGGACAGCACGCGCTGACACCATGCAGCGATGACGAGGCAGGCAGAGCACAGTGTACATGCACAAGCCCTAGGCTTGCATTGATGTTCACCACCTGAGTGACAGGCAGCGGCCGTGCGCGTTGTGTGGTTGTGGCTGCCAACCTGTGCTTTCTGCCCCATGACGGTACATGCGGTGCTCTAGCCTGATCTGCTGGGATGACCCCCAACCGCCTTTATCGGGATGCAGTGCATTCACAGCCGGCTGGCCGCGGTCCACAGGCAGCGCTCGGCAGCTGTGGCTGCAGCGGAGGGGGACTCGTTCGACCGGCCCCTGGGCAAGGCCGCCGCGGTCGAGGGCGTCGGTACGTTCATGGCACCGCAGCTGGCGGGGCCGCTTGAGCGGCAGCTGTGGCTCCAGGACCTGGCAAGAAGCTGCTCACTGGAGGAGCTGGCAGCACGTGTGCCGGACGGCATCCCTGGGTGAGGTGCATGCCTTGGGAATCAGTTGGACGTGGGGCGGTCGTACTGGCAGGCTGCCTCTACCTCGCGCAGTGCGATGCACCATTACAACACCTAGCCTCTACCTTGATCCGCAATCTCCTGCACGCATCTGATGTCTTGTTCAAGGCACGAGCTGCCGGCGCTTCTGGTGCGACTGCGCATCTCGCTGCCGCGTGCAGTGTGGTTTGCCAAGGCAGTGCTCGGACAGCAGCAGCAGGCCAGCATGCGCCCCGCGCAACAGCAGCAGCAGCAGCAGCAGCAGCAGCAGCAGCCGCAGCTGCTGTCACATCGGCAGCCACCACAACAACATCAGGCATCTGCCCCAACGCGGCCTGGGCCCGCACAAGTCTGGTCGGCCGCCCTGCTGACCCTGCTGTCGCAATTGGCAACAGCACTGGGCGCAGCCGAGGCACAGCACGACCACAGCATCCCAGGCAGCGCGGCGCTGCCGGTCGCGACGCCCCCGCAGCAGGCAGTGCCGGCTCCTACGGTTGAACAGCAGCCATATCGGGGTGCTGCTGCTCCAGGCGCGCCCGACAACGCCGCGGCGTCGGTGGCTGCCACTGCGTACGCACCAGCTTCTGCTGAGAACGCACAGCAGGCGGCTGTCCGGCTGGTAGAGTCTGCGGGCAGCGATGAGGCGTTGCGGCAGCACTGGGCCTACGCACTGCGCCTGGCCTGCTACAGCCTGGGCTCTGGGATGGGAGATCCGCCGGCTGTGCTGGAGTGGTGCCTTGCTCAGTTGACGGCGGGCGATGGCGCTGCTGACGGCCCGCAAGCCGCATCTGCACCGGCGCGTGGGCAGCCAGTGGCAGCAGAACGGGCGAGCGCCCAGCTGCTGCGTGAGGCAGCGCTGCAGGTGGCAGGTGCCTCGATAGAGGACTTTGCATCGTCATCACTCGCGGCTACGCGGCTCCTGGGCGCCTGCATGCATGCTGCCGACCTCTCTACCGGCAGGGCGCCTGATGTCGGAAACGGTGGTGAAGGCGATGTCAGCGACGCCAGCGCAGGCGTCGTCGCGGCGGCGGCGGGGGCGGCGGCGGCGGCGCGCATACGGGCCCTCGCCACTGACGTTCTGCACGCACTGGTGCTGCTGGCACCCTCCGCCCTGCCCATGCTGGACGGGCTACCGCGGCTGGCACGGCTCCTTGGTGTGCCCGTGACAGGCGCCGCTGGGGCGGAGGTCGGGTGCGGCCCGCCTCTGGAGGCTGGTCGCGGCGGCGGCAGCGGGCTGGCAGAGCTGGCGCAGCAGAGCGTGGCGCGTGCGCTGGCCGAGCGCCGCTCACTGGCGGCTGGCGTCAGCCCAAAGTGGGGAAAAGGGGATAGATATGAGGGTGCTGCATGTTGACAAGTTGGGGTGTGTGATGCATGGCTGCAAAGACAGCCAGAACTGTCATGCTGGTGCGCCGCTTCGCCATCTCACAGAACGCACTTTTTACCACAGTCGCCCCGCCTACTCTCCTCTGTGCCGTTGGCAGGATCTTGACTTTCAGTGCATGCGACGCCTTCCGCACCCTCAGCCGCGCCTGCCTTGCCGGAGACCACAAGGCTGGCCTGGCCACGCTTCTGTCTGCTATGGGTGCGCAAGATATAGGAGCGGTTGCGGCGCTTGCGCACATCTGCAGACACGTGTGTGTGTGTGTGTGTGTGTGTGTGTGTGTGTGTGTGTGTGTGAGGAGGGTGTTAGGGGGTTTGTGTGCATGTGTGCTTGTGTGCACATAATTGCAAGGGAGGCTATCTTGTGTGTGCGTGCGTGCGCGCGTGTGTGTGTGTGTGTGTGTGTGTGTGTGTGTGTGTTGTGTGTGTGCGAGCGTGTGCGTGTGCGTGTGTCTGCGAAGGAGGGAGAGAGAGAGAGAGAGAGCAAGAAGAGACAAAGAAGGAGAGAGAGGGTATGTGCATGAGTGCGTTTTGTGTGCGCAAACATGCGGGCGCGAGTGCGCGGCCCTGCACGTGGGCGTCCTTTGCGGCATCGCCCGGTGCACTCTCCTGCCCTGCACACTCCTGCGCTGCAAATGCTGGGCACCAGGCGCCCCTTGCATCTGCTGAGCACCAGGCGGTCTCACGGTCTTCCCTGGGCCACCACAGGGGATGGCAGCGGCGGCGGCAGAAGCAGCAGCGCCAGCGGCATCGGCAGCAGCGGCCAGCGTGCTTCAGCACCCTATGATGCAGTTGCTCTCGCCTGCACCTGGGCATGCCACCACACCGTGGACGCACTGCATCACCTTCCCTGGGGCGAGCTGCCCGGCCCTGCGCAGACCGCTGACGGGTGCCCCGCTCAAGGCGGCGGCTGGGCGCCGCGGCTGTGGCCGCTGGAGCCGGAGCTGGGTCCGCGGCGCACATTTGCCTGCCGCCTGCTGGTCAGGATGCAGACACACCTGGACGCGCAGCAGGCGGGGCGGCGGCACGGGTGGCAGTGGCGCAGCGAAAGCCAGGCAAGTGATGGCGCGCAGCTGGCTGTCGAGCCAGCTGACGTTGTTGCTGACGTCGCTGGCCTGCAGGGTGATGCAGGGGTGCAGCCCTCGCTGCTGCTGCCTCACCTCATTCGCTGGATTGGCAGCCAGACTGAGGCTGGCCCACAGGGGGGTGCAGGGGCGTGTGGCTTGGCGCCAGCCCCCTGGACAGGGGCAGCTCACCCCGCGGGGCCAGACCTGGACATGCCCCCAGCGGCCCCGCGGCGCGTCGTGGCCCTCGCTCTCGACCTGGCCGCATCTGGCCTGCTCAGCCCGCCGCAATACCTGGCCGCTGTCGTCGCCGGCGCGCTGCTGCGACCACCGCCTTCAGCACCGCCCACAGCACGCGCCGCCGCGTCGATGCACCGCCGTGTACTGCGGCAGTTGCACCCGCAGCTGCCACTTTTTGACGACTTGGAGGCGCTGGACGGCTTGGCGGCAGGATCACAGGCGGTGGCAGCAGCAGCAGCAGCAGCAGCAGCAGCAGCAACAACAGCAGCAGCAGGGGTTGCGGTGGCACAGAGCAGCGCGTTTTCAGTGCCGACAGCAGATGCTAGTGGCGACACTCTCGCAGCAATGGCAGACGCCCCAGCCGTCCCAGCCCGCATGGGGTTGGGGTCGGGGCCGCATGCTGCACTTGGCAGTGCGGCTGGCCTGGGCTTGCAGCCAGACTCAGCCTTGACGGAGGGCACCGCTGCAGGCGCGCTGCACGTGTCCCAGCTGACGCTGCAGCGCACGTGGTGGGGCTGTGGGGACGCAGCGCAGGTGCTTGCGAGCGCGCCCCCGCTCCAGGCTGAGGCAGCACAGCACCACTGGGCGCCCGCGCGAGTGTCGTATGCCGCAGCACGCAAGGCCATGTTGGCTCTTACAGACGGCGGCGACGCGGCGCCCCGCACGCGGCCGCCAGTGGGTGATCCCCGGGAGGCGCTCGCCAACAAGCGGCACAGGCTCAACGAGGTGGCGTGGGGTGTCTCGGGCGGGACCCAGCCGCTGGTGCAGGGCGGTGTGCAGATGGGTGACAAGGAGCGGGGCGGGGAGCGGGCCGCGGGGTCGCAGCCTGCGCCGCACCTGCTGGACGTCTTGGCAGCAGCTGGCGCGGCCCTGGGCCTGGAGCTGGAGCCGACGGGGGCGCGCAAGCGGCAGCAGGCGCTGCGCACCGTGCGGCGGCAGCGCACACTCAGCCCCTGCGAGCGGCGCAGCGGCAGCAGCGGCGACGGCGGTGCGGAGGGTGCGGGCCGCAGCCCAACTCCGCCCCCAGGGGGAGTCTGGCGCCCCATGTGCGCGCGCGACCTTCTGGGGGCCATCACACAGCTGCGGCGCTGGGAGCAGGTGGTGTTTGGGCGCCATGTGGCTGTGGCCATCGCGCGACATATCGAGGCGCACGAGCAGACCCCGTCAGCGGGTCCTGGCGGCAGTGGCGCAGCAGCCGCCACTGCCGCGGCCCTGGCGGCGTCAGGGTTGACTGCGGCGGGGAGTACGGGCCTAACCGCATCGGGCTGGCTCCTGCGCGGCGTGGCGCTGCTGCTGACTGCGGGCGAGGGTGTGCGCGCAGTGCAGGTGGTGCTGCCCGCCCTCTCAGCGCACATCGCAGTCATAGCACGCGCGCATCACCACACTCCATTCGCCGCACCCGGCGGTGGGGGGCCGCCGCCAGGCCCAGCGACGCCGGACGAGTCGGAACGAGGCCCGACGCCGGCGGGCGTGCCGCTGTGCGCACTGCTGTCCTGCGCTGACGCCTTGCAGGACTGGGCCGCCGCGGCGGGCCTCACGCCGGCGCTGCTCGACGCCTGCGTGCGCTGGGCGCTGCGCAGCGGCGCAGAAAGGCGGCCCGTGCGCGCTGCCCTTGGGCGGGTCATAGCGTTTGCGGGCTGCACGCTCGCGGCACGGCTTGACAGCCCCGGAGTCGCTCAGTGGTGGGCGGCGCTGCAGGCAGAGGCGTCGGAGCTGGAGCGCACAAGTGGCGCCACGGGGGGCCGCCACTGGCTCTTGACAGACCTGGCGGCCTGCTTGGCCAGCGCACGCCGCGGTGCCGACGGCGGTACTACAGGGCAACCGCCTGCGACGCCGCCACCTCTGCCGCAGCAGCAGCAGCAGCTGTTAGGACAGGCGCAGCAGCAGCAGCAGCAGCAGCAGCAAGGGTCCCAGCCGCCGCCACCGCGCCGGAATTTTTTGGGGGTGGTCCGCAATCCTGGCAGCACCTCGTCAGCAGTGGGCCTCTCCGCGGCGCGCGCCAAGGAGGCAGCGACGTGGGCCAGCGGCGGCCTGGGCGGTGCGCCGGCCTGGGCCAGCCTCCAGGATGTTGCGCTCCAGCCGCAACACGCCGCCGCCGCCCACCAGGCGATGGCTGCGCTGTGCTTGGGCAGTGGCAGCGCAGGCGCAGGCGCAGGCATGGCACAGCACGCGGCAAAGCTGGCGCATGCGCTAGCGTCGGCGATTGAGGCAGCTGGTTCGGGTAGGCGTGCCTTTCTCGCCGGGTCGTGCAGGGTGCTGTGTGCCTGGGCGTGTTGGAGGCTCGTTTGCATCCTTGTTGCAATCCACCTTGTTATTGACTGCATTATTACCAAAAGCCTCCAATCTACACCGTGATGCGCAGGGCCCCGTGTAGGCAGCAATGGCCACAAGGCGCTACTAGCGGCTGTGCGGCTGCTACTCGCCTCAGCATGCCAGCAGCTGGCGCAGAGCACCCAGCCACATACGCACGCGGCGCCGTTCCCACCACCCGCTGCAGCTGCACGCGCGTGGTCGCTGTGTGTCGTGCGGCAGCTGCTGCAGCACCTGGCAGAGGGCAGCTGGGGGCCAGACGCGGACCCATCCGTGCAGCAAGCGGTGGTAGCGGCAGCATTGCATCTGGCCCTCAAGGTGGGCTGCGCTCCTATGCGGATACTGGAGGCTCAGCTGGGTGACGGCTTGTGCCCAAGCAACGTTTAGCTGCAGCATCAGCATGTGTTATGTGATGCACGTCGTTCTATCACAGCCGTTACCATCCCGCTACTGCTTACCTGTCATTTTCCCCTGTCCCCGTCATGCATCTGCAGGCAGAATCCCAGACCCTGCGCGCTGCGGCCCTGTCATTCCTGCCCGCCGCGGCGGCTCACGGCCTGCTGCTCCTGCCAGACCTGGTAGCGTTGGCCACGCTGCACGAGCCCGCGGTGGTGGCGGTGGCCAGGGAGCTGCGCCTGATGCTGATTGGCCCCGGCTTCGGCGGCGCTGTGGGTGGCGTGGTGCCGCCTGCAGACCCCTCTGCGCGGGTGGCCACGGGCACAGAGGCCGGCGGTGCGGCGGCGTGTGGGGGCGTTATCTTCGCGGGGCCTCATGCCCCGTGCTGGCTTCTGTGTGACGCAGACTTTGGAGAGGCCGCAGTCTTGCAGGCGCTGCAGAGTCAGCTGCGCACAGACCGCGCAGCCGAGGCCGCGGCGGCAGAGCTGCTGCCCGCCACCTGCTGCGGCCTGGTTGCTGCGGGGCTCAGAGGGGCAGGCGCAGCTGGCGCGGAAGCGCCACTGCAGGCAGCTGTGGGGGCTGAGCTCCTGGGCCCAGGCGCTCGGCATGCTGCCTGCTGCGCGGCGGCCGCGGCACTCGCCGCCCACGCGCCGCTGCGCACGCTGCTGCTGTCGGACGCCGCCGCGCTGTACCAAGGGATGTGGGCACCGCAGCCAATGGCTGGCATGGCCGCCGTGCTGGACGGGGCGCCCGCCAGTCCGGCACGCCCGTGGGCGCTGCCGCACCGCCTTGTGTTGCAGTCGCTGGCAGCGGGCGCGCTCCACGTGATGGCGCCAGCAGGCTGCTTGGTGCTGGAGCCCGCTGCGGCCCAGGGCCAGGGTCGTGGCGCCCAGAAGGGTGTCCTGCACGACCCACACGCGCTGTCCTGGCGAATGCTCAGGGCCGCAGTGCCTGCGGAGCCGCCTGAGGGCTCGCCGCTGCGCTCGCCGGATGCCCCGGCGGCGCTGGGCTTGCTGGCCGCGTGCCGCATGGCGCGGCCTGGGTGGCTGGACGCAGCTTGGGCGGCGGCGTCATTGCAGCTTGACGAGGCGCAGCTGTCAGAGGCCCTGCGGCGCGACGGGCAGCACGCCAAGCAGGTGCGGGGGGAGCGCTCCCTGGACGCGCACTACCGTCCTTGGCATCCCGGCCGCCTTGGGGGCCGCGCAGCGCCCCGCACAGCGCGTTGTTGGACAACTTGGTGCGCCTGGACCGCAAATGCCATTGACATGCAATACTCTCCGTTCACGCTTGCCCTGGGGGGGGCCCACTGCTGAGGCTGCTTGCTGTTCCGCACGGTGGCCGCGGCTCACTTCTCGCAGGCGCTTGTGATGATGCGGCCCGGAGCCGGCGGCAGCTCCCGCGACCGTGCCCTGTGCGGCGCACTCCTGGCCTGCCTCTGGTCGGCAGCCAGTGGCGCCGCGGCGCCCACACGCGATGCCACGTCCGCGGCGCTGTGCCTTGCTGAGCTGGCGTCGGCAGCGGGGCGCGGCGCTGGTGACATGCTGCTGCAGCGCATCCAGGGGCTGCTCAAGGTTCGCAGGGGAGGGGACCCCGCTTAGGGTTTGCACTTTTGAGGTGGCAAGCATCAAACCCCAGCTACTAGGGAGGGCATGGGTTTCAGGGGTAATCAAGCCTTGGGGCTGGGAGCGAGAGGGAGTCGAGAATTGCAGGATGCAGGCCTAAGCTAGTGGCGTGCCGCTAGGGTGCTGCAGCTAGTGGCGTGCCGCTGGGGCACTACCAGACCTGCCGCGCCACATGGCAGACAAGTCAATTCGCAGGCTGAGACCCCATCACCTCCGCCGATTTTCAGGACGCTGGCGGCAGCTGGCTGCTGGGGCACGAGAGCCTTTCGCGGGTGCTGGGTCGCCTGGAGCCCTGCCGCGTTGCCGCGGCCGCGTCGGCTGCCGCCGCTGGCCGAGACCTTGGCGCAGGGGCAGAGCGTGAGGCAGCGACAGGTGCACGGCCCTTTGCGCTGGAGGCGGCCCTGGGGTCCGCGTGCCTGGTGCTGCTGGTGAGGAGCCCGGTGCAGCGGCAGCGCGACTTTGCGGCGGCGACAGTGCACCAGCTGGCGCGCCTGGCAGAGGCACTGCGCCGTGCGCCGCCGCCGCTGGCTGGCTGCGCGCGGCGCGACTCAAGAAGCGCAGGGGCAAGGGATGCCTGCGGCAGCAACGCCGGCACAGCGGGCGATCACTGGCGCGGCAGCATGGCCGACGACGGTGGCGGTGCGTCCTCCCCGGGCCCAAGCAGCCCGCCACCTCTGGCTGGTGGGGCTGTGTCTGCCGCTGAACGGCGCACGTCTGCTGCCTCTGAAGGCTCCGGCGGCGGCACACCCGCAACTGAGCCCGCACCTTCCTCGCGCCAGAGGCGCTTCGGCGGCGGCTTTGGTGCAGCCTCTCGCACGCGCCAGGCCGCAGCCCCCGCGCCCTCTGCAGCAGCCGCGGCCGCCGCAGTCCTTGAAGCGCCAGGCGACGCGGCCCTTGGTGTTGGCTGCGCAGCGCTTTTGCAGGTGTCAGCATGGCAGCGGCTGCTGGTGCTGCTGCCGCTGCTGCCGACAGTGCGGGCGGACCGCGAGGGCGAGATGCGCGCTCAGCTTGCAAGTGCGCTCGTGGCGCTGCTCGCAGCGCCGCACCTGCAGCCTGAGGCGCTGGTACTGGACGGCGCCGCGAGTGGCACAGACACAGAGGTGGCCAGCGCCGCAACGGCGGCGGTGGCCGCAGCGGCCCGCAGCGTGGGCCAGTCGCTGGTGTCACGGCTGCAGCACGTGCTTGGGGCACTGCTGAGCGGCTCCTGGGCGGGCTGGCTGCGCGGCAGCAACAAGCGGCTGCGTGAGGTCCCTGCGTACGGCGGCACGGCGCACCTGTGGGCAGCCCTCGACGGCCTGCCGCAGCACAGGCTGCCGGACGCGCTGCGTGCACGCATCCGTGCCGCGTTGCCTCTGCCGCCCGAGCCCGCACCGCTGCTGCTGCCAGAGCCGCTTGCCGGCGCACCAGCCCTAGCAGCCGCTGACGACATGGACGACAGCGGCGGCCCCGGCAGCGGCGGCGAGCGGCTGCTGTCCTTGGCGCGCCGCTGGGACCCCTGGACGCCACTGCAGCCCTTGGCCGCTGGGCCACCAGCTATTGGTGCAGTAAGCAGTGCAGGCGTTGGGTCAGCCTCCCTGCATGGCCCCGTTGCGCCAGCAGTGTTGCTGTTGGCGGGCTGCGTGAAGCGGCGTGGCGGGGCGCTGGCATACGCGGGTGGTCACGATGACGACGATTGTGTCCTCTGATGACACCATGCTTGCACCGTGGCCACACACGCGCAGCACTCTATCGTATCTCTGAGTGCCTGTTGTTGGGGTGTGGATGCAGGTGGCAGCTGGGCCCTTGTCGACGGAGTTCATTTGTAGTCGCAGGGTGACACATAGTCCATAGATCCATCTAGACAGTAATGAGCGGCTCAGGGCTGACTGTCGCGCGAATCTCACAGCACTGCTGCGCAGGGAAAAGTGGAGCACAAACAATCACACCTAACAACACTTTCGATCGTCAAGGGGGGGGGTCAAAGAGCGACTCGATCAGAGGGCGAGAGCATACCGTGACCTTGCCCACAACAGCATACATGCATTTGGCTTGGAATGTGCAAATGAACAAGATCAGGGTCTTTTCGAATAATCTACCAAGGGTAGCTCTGAAGCGGCGAGGCGGAGGGGGGGGGCAAAGACAGGAACTCTAGGTTTCAGCGGGTGACACCCATGATGATTACTGTGATTGATGCCAATATCGTAAACGAGCCGTGCCAGCAGCAATTCCTATTGGGAGCAGCCTCACGCGGATCAAGCAGCAGCTGCATGTAAGTAGACTCCCTGTGAAATGAGTCAAGCCAGCCTATCCAATACTTCTCTGCGCGCAAGGAAGCCCGTAAAGCCTTCGAAACGTCTATAGGAGGGTTCTGGGATGTCCAGCAGGCGTATGACCTAGGCAGGGGGGCACATCAGGCACTTATTAGAATAAAGGCACCCCCCAGATCACGAATTCCTTTGGTGTCCACAGCGGCTGTCCGGACTGTTTGACTTGGCCCAGCATTACCAGACCTGCAGCAGGAGTCGCAGCAACATTAGCAGCAGCAGCAGCAGCAGCAGCAGCAGCAGCAGCAGCAGCAGCAGCAGCAGCAGCAGCAGCAGCAGCAGCAGCAGCAGCAGCAGCAGCAGCAGCAGCAGCTGCAGGGCAGCTGCATTGGCACAACAGCGAATGCGACGGGGCGACGTGCTGTGATTGGGTGGTGGTTGCTGTTATCACACAAGGTGAACAGCGGCAAGGGACGCGAGAGGTTTCACAGCAAGGTGGGGCTAGGTCGACAACGTTGCATAATACATCCCTCGTCCTTGTCGCGCTCAACAGTTGCTTGACCTTGCCAGACAGTACCGTACAAGAAAGACACCTTGTCAAGCCACGCAGGGATCAGGGCTGCTGCTGCAGAGGCCAAAACTGCAGGCGGAACATTACAGGGTCTGCTGGAAGGTCGCACTCACGTCCGGACTAGCCAGGAGCTCACAGGTGATGTAGAGCCTACGACTGTTGTGCCATCGCAAACCTTAAAGAATATACTGCAACACGGGGGAGTAATGAGGCTCCCTACGCAGGCGGCAGCTACCGCCCAGTTGCTCTGCACATCCAGGCCGAACACAGTGTAAGGGATGCAGCAGGGCAAACAAACAAACACACACACATACACACACACACACACACACACACATACACACACACACTCTCTCTCTCTCTCTCTCTCTCTCTCTCTCTCTCAAAAAGGCGGGTGACAGAATGCATGCGAAGGTCTGATTACAAAGAATGGTGCGAACGGCCAGATCCAACGCAGCGGCTGAAGCTGAGCTAGAGCTGCGGCGGGGCGCGCGGCGGCACCCGAACTTGGGCTCGCTGCACCAGCACGACCCGGGCCCGCCCCTGCTGGCCCTCCTCCTGCTCCGCCTCCTGAGCCGCCCGTGCAGCGTCTGCGGCCGCAGAGGCGGCTGCCACGGCCTCTTGCACCGCCCTGAGAGCCTCCAAGGGTGTGCCGTTGCCGCCACTGGGCACCAGCAGCTGCGGGGCCTCCGTGACCACGCCGAGTCCTGACACCGTGCCCTGCTCTGCCTGGCTGTACAGCTGCTGTTGCCAGCGCTCCTGCATATCCACAGGGCCATCGCCTTGCTGCTGCTGCCGCTGTTGGTCATCACTTGGTGCATCCAACAGCTTCTGCTGCTGCTGCTGCTCCTGCTCCTGTTCCTGCTCCTCCTGCTGCTGCTGGTGCTGCTGCTGGCTCCCATTCAGTCCTTGGCTCACACGTCGCCGCTTGTTCCTCGCCCCGCTTTCCTCGTCGTCGTCGTCGTCATCGCCGCCCCACTCGCTCTCAGGCTCTGGTGTGGTGGAGCCGGCACGTGCAGCGGCGCCCGTGGTAGCGCCTGAGGAAGGGACAGGGCGAGCGCGCGTCGAAGCCTGCTTGCGCCCCTCGGTGCGCAGCGCCTCAATCAACTCGTCCTGGTGTGGTGGGTGTGACGTGAAGGGCGGGAGTGCGGCGAAGGTGAGGCGGGCTGTCGCGTTGGCTGCTTTGGCGAGGACTTTGGATGAGACTGGGGTTGGGCGGGTGTGAAGGCAGGGGCCGACCAGGTGGGAGCAGGGCAGCCATGACCACACCCATTAGCGTCGGTGTCACGGCTGTGACACCGGGCGGCCTTCAAGGGGTTGAGGCGTAGGTGCATTTGCGTTGCGCTCCAAATTGTCCCCGCTGCCATGATGGAGTCAATTGGGACGCTCAAGCACACGCGTGTGCACCCGAACGCCGCCCGCCCCTGCCCCACCAGGCGCCCCACCTGTGTGACCCCTGCAAGCCAGGGCAAATCCTCCGCGTACTGGCTGACGTCAAAGTTTGTCACTCCCGCCTTGGTGGCCGGCCCAGCGCCATGCATCTCCACCCACAGCATCATGCGGTCGTAGGCGCGGGCAGCGTCCTCCTCGCGGTCAAAGCAGCCTGCACGGCAGCAGTGTGCGTCAAGAGTGTGCTGGTACAAGTGCAGAGGCAGTGTGTGCGTGTTTGCACGCATGTGTCCGCATGTGCGCGTGGGTGCGAAGGGGGAGGAGCGCACACCTGCGGTATGTGCAATGACAGGCATGCATCTTACGTGTGTCTTGGCAACCAATGGATTATGATAATGTGCTTTGCAACGTGAAAAGCAGGCACCGCTTGTAGCACCCTCGCAAGACAATCATATTCCACGCAGCCAGCTTTGCAACAATCCCCAAGAAAGGACCTTCTTGGCATGACTGGGGCATCCTCCAGTTTTTTGCAGCCCCAGACCCCTCGCCCTACACTGATGCGCCCTCCTGCGTGCCGCATCCCCTTGTCACCCCCCAAAACTCACCCAGGCTGGTGGGCTTGCCTGAGCGCCGAAACTGCGCCTCCCAGCGCCGCGTGGGGAACGTCTGGTGCACGCCACGGAAGCGGCTGGTGAAAGTGCGGCCCGACGCAACGCCCGGCTTGCTGTAGCGCCCGCCCGCCTTGGCGCGCTGCCCGATGCCCTCCAGCAGGTCAGCGCCCTCGCGCTGGGGGGCAGGGGCGGGGCCACACGTGATGGAGGGAGGGAGGGAGCGGGCCGACATTAGGAAATGGAAGGGAGAGGGAGAGGGAGAGGGAGAGGGAG